CGTCGTTCCGTCATCCTTGGTGACCGTGCTCCCGTCGCCGCCAAACTGAACGAGCGCCTGAGCGCTCCCTGTCGTCGGTGTCGTGCCAGTCGAGTTCGACGCGGTGGCGGCGCTGCCCGAACTGGTCTTGCTATCATGCTTCGGCCTGATGACCACGAAGTAGACAGGAAGGACGACGGCCGCGGCGACGATGATAATCGCGGCGATCCAGAACCAGAGAGTCTTGTAGAAAGGGCGCTTCGCGGGCCGTGGATCTGTCAGGTACCCGCTCTCGGACTCCTTGCCGGCGAGCGGGCTGCTGTTGTACGGGGCTGGTTGCTCTTGTAGCAAGGGGGCGAACTCGCGGGGGATTGACGTGAGAGACTCCTTTGGCAGGTTGTTCTCCGCCGGGCGTAAATAAGGTGACTCGCCGCGGAGAGTGGCTTGGGAGCCCCCCGCGGATGGCGGTAGGCCGTAAGGGTTGAAGTCGCCAGACATGAGTTGTTAAAAGATTGTTAAGCGGGGCGCGTTTGAGCAGCCCTTGGAGGGGCGCGCAGCAGGCGAGCCGGAGACGGTGCAGAGGGAGGGAGGAAGAGGCAAAGCCGGGAATGTTGAACGGCGTATATTAGCGATGGGAAACCCGCCCATGCTGTACATACTGTGTCCGCCTCCAGCGGCGGGCACACGATCGGTCGCCCGAAATAGTCCGTCTTCGCGTCTTGCCGTGAACTCTGCCGTGAGCTTATGCAACAGCCCGCGAACGCGCGCCGGAGGCCGTCAGCCTCACCGTTCAACGTACTCTCCAGTCAACAACCCCATACCAGCAGTCTATAATTTCTTCATGCTCTCTTCATATTCCAGCAGCGTCGTACCACATCCACCGGTGGAGGGGGCGAAAGGAAAGCGGCTGACGATCCCCTTGGCGTGGCGATGCGTCCAACAAAGCTGAATATATGCATGCTTGACGACAGAAGAGGACACCAGACCGGTCAGATGTTTTGATGTGCATACGGCGGTGTCGTCCATAGATTCGGAGGTGCGAGAGCTTGGCACGCGGTCAACCGCGCCAGAAGACGACGTACCATCCAGAAGGCAATCGTGTCCCCCCGAGAAAGCTGCGAGGCCCATTCTTATTCCGTCGCCCCCACCCCACTTGCAGCGTGTCCTGCTTGAAGCCACGCGCACGAGAATGCTCCTGAAGCCACATACGGCCCGAGGATCTTCTTGCAAACTGTTGCAGCGATGCGCTGATGGATACCGCAGTGATATCGACTTGTCTGGGCGGTTTCTGCACAGCGTCTAGCTCTAGTGTGTCTGGCATCACAGCTTAGCATAGATGTTTGAAAATGGAGAGCAATTGAATGCGTCGAGAGTCCACTCATGAAATAGATTGGAGACAAGATGGGGGTTATGGCTTAGGGGAGCGGAGTTGCAGCTACGCACTTTAGGCGCTTGTCTGAATCCGCGCAAATGGATTTCCTTTTCTCAGACTGCGTCTCACTACCGCAAGCGCAAGGCTCCTTCCATAATTTCGAGTGCGTTGCTCTATATACCCCCATTATTAACTCAGCAGGCATTCAGAGCGAGAAGGCGGGGCCAACTTATGAAATTACTCGTGCGGTCCTTGATAAGTATTCATTCTACGATCACAGCCACCATATACAAGTTTTGCCCCGAAATAGGTCTCCAGCGTTCGGTATAAATACCACTCAGTTTATGCAGACCCGTAGAGATGAAAATTGTTGAGTGGTGGTGTTCACATTATAGTCATGCTATCATACAATCTGACTCAAGATATCCTCTACGCCGGTCGTCGCAGCATCGGGATAGCCTTCGCCGCCTCGAGTTGCACATCCTGTAAAATCGCATTCATCGCCAGAGGTCAGCCAACACTAGGAGAGGCCAAACGAAAGCGCAGCACTCACATCCCCGCCCCACGACTTCACGAAACTCGCGCGCGCACGTATATCCCGCACATACTGACTAATGCGCGCAAACCGCTCGCTCGCCAGCGCCGCCCGCATGGTCTCCCCGTCCGCCTCGCTGTACTTCCCCAGCCCCGCGTCAAGATACAACATCATGCGCGCGAGGAACGGCGCGACCGCCGCCTCCGCGAGCGACCACTCGCCCACCGCGAATCCCGCGGGCGGCAGCGCGCTCTGCAGCGTCTCGAGCGCCTGGAGGAAGGGCCCGACCGGCTCTCCGCGGAAGAACGCGTCGCGGAACTGGTCGTGCAGGTAGTTCTGGTAGATGGCGATGAACGCGCGGGCGCGGGCGCGCTGGACGGGGGATGCGGGGAGGAGCTTTGCTTCTGGGAAGACGTCGGCGACGAACTCGAGCAGCGCGAGTGACTCTACGAGCTTCTCGGACTCCGGGGAGGGCTCGTCGGGCGGGACCTGTGGACCTCCGAAAGTGATGGCGGGGACCTGGGACGCAAAGAGGTGAGTGGGTGATGGGAGTAGGAGATTGTGCGGGGATATCTGCACCTTTCCGAGCGGATTGACACGCTTGTACCATTCCGGCTTGTCGCGATGGACGTTTATTTGGCAGAGGGTGTACTCCGCGCCCGCCTCTTCGAGAGCAATATGCGCCTACCAGGAGTTCGCGTTAGTGAGGACATGTGCAACATCCATGCCAACTGTTGGGACAGACCCGATGGCCGTACGGCGAGAACTAGTAGAGTGGTAGGTCAGACACAGAGTTTCTATAACCCTCAACGAGAACAACTGACCGTGGTCGTATACAAGGTGATCTGCTCGGTGCAAGGCATGTCGGTGAAGTGGGATGTGTTGTACGAAATCCATTCTGCATGCAGTCT